TATTTCAGTCGTAGTTTAATGATAATTAATTGAAGGTGGAGGGGTTACCAGCCCCTCACACCCATCCAGAGCCCCCGTATAGCCACTGTGGTGGACACAGACGCCATGAGGGGAGGGGCCAATCGGAATTGGTCCTCCCCCCACAGCACTGTCCACGACAGAGTTGCCCGTCCGGCACCGCGAGGAGGTAGGGGGTTGTTTTGCCGGACTACACAGACACACAGACGCACAAACAGACACACACACAGACACAACAACGACAACCGCCATTTGCCACTAAGTGGCAGTGACGTCACCACGACGCTTGTGCCAGGCTATGTGCACCTTGAGGCCACGTGAAGTGTCGAACACCCGCTGGCAGGAGGTCACGGGGCAGACCCAGGTGCCACGGGTCGACTGCCTGAGATGACTGGCTGATGCACCACCTGTGCCCCCTACTGTGCCAACTTGCTGTACTTTAGCCACCTGGCGCTCCACTTGTTGTTGTGAGCACCCTCTGTTGTTGTTGGAGGGCGACTGCCTCCAATTGCCCAGTAGCGTCCTTCACGAGCCTCCACCACTGAGGCCGATTTTGACACCGCTGGTACCAGTCATCGGCAAGTCCACTCATCTCCACGTCATCCTGTACCACATCACTCCATCTCTTCTCTAGCCCGTGCTGCGCCCATTTAGCCCCCTCAATCCGGCCGAACAAAAGCTGTTTCGGCATGCGGTGGCTGGGCATGCGGGCTACATGACCCAGCCAACGCAGCTTTGCCTGCTGGAGGAGCTCACCGATGGGACTTTGCCCAGATCTTTCAAGGATTTGTGAGCTCCTCACACAATCCAGTCTGGTCAAACCCAGGATGGATCATAGTCAGGCCAGCCTAAATGTTTCTAACTGGCGAAGATGCTCCATTAGGGGGGTCCACGTTTCGCAAGCGTAGAGAAGGGAGGGAATGACTGTGGCCAAGAAGACCTGAAGTTTCGTGCGGAGCGACAGACCAGGCAGCTTCCACACAGCGTTACGTAACCGATCAAAAGATATTGCTGCTCGACTGATTTGGAGTGAGACCTCCGCTGCCAAACCGGAGCCAGTCATGAGCATACTGCCCAAGTATGGGAAACTCTCCACTCTCTCCACAACTGCCCCATCACCAATTGGGAGTTGTGGGGGTGGACTGTCCGATGGTACAAAATACTCAGGCAGGTGCTTAGTTTTAGTGGGGCTGATGGTAAGGCCCCACCTCTTAGTGGCACATTCCAGTTTCAGAAGAAGCGTCTCTAACTCGTCCTCTGAATGAGCAGCAATTACCAAATCATTGACATACATAACGTGGTTGACCAATAGGGAGCCATCCTTTGACCGCACCTGGGCATCGATCAGCCTCCCATTATATCTGTACCAAATGGAAATTCCCCCGGTACAGCTATTGAAGGCTTCACGAACTACGTGATCAAAATAGATGTTAAATAATGTGGGAGCCAGAGGACATCCCTGTCGCACCCCAAGGTGTAAAGGGAATGGCTCTGACTCCAGGCCACGTAGTTTTACCCGGCCCCGCTAACCATCATGAAGGTCCTTCATGATCGTGAGCAGAGGGTCAGGGATTCCAAAAACACGAAGAACAACCCAGAGCCCAGGCCTACTGATGGTAGGCCTTGACCAGGTCAATAAAGCAGAGATGTAGGTCTTGTTGGAATTCCCTACACCTCTGCTGTAGCAGACGGACAGAAAATATGGCATCTGTGCATGACCACCCTTTCCTGAAACCGCATTGACACACAGACACACACACAGACACACACACACGTACAGAAACACAGACGCACACACACACACAGACACACAGGCACACACAGACACAGACAAAGATTCCCCGTATTGCCTTAACAGACACACACACAGCCACACAGACACACATACAGACATACAGACAAACACACATACAGACACACAGACACACACACAGACACGCACACACACACACAGACACACAGACAGACACACAGACAAACACACAGACAGACACACAGACAAACACACAGTCACACAGACTCACAGTGTAATTATTTGACACGCAGCCGTGTTAAGCGATGTAAATATTTATTGTTTCATTCTCCATCACGCTACTCCTCGTAGGGAATTGCAGGGCTGCGCCTCTACCCCTCTGCGCCCTTGGCTGGCACTTGGGCGTCATTTCACGCGTCAAGCTTTTACAGCAACAACAACAACAGCGAATAACGTAAACAATGGGGGGAGGGGTGGGGGGAGTAGCGTAAACAATGGGGGGGGGGAATAGCATAACAATGGGGGGGGGGAGTAGCGTAAACAATGGGGGGGGCGAATAGCGTAAACAATGGGGGGGGGGGGAGCATAACAATGGGGGGGGGGAGTAGCGTAAACAATGGGTGGGGGGAGTAGCGTAAACAATGGGGGGGGGGGGCGAATAGCGTAAACAATGGGGGGGGGGAGTAGCGTAAACAATGGGTGGGGGGAGTAGCGTAAACAATGGGGGGGGGGCGAATAGCGTAAACAATGGGGGGGGGGGAGCATAACAATGGGGGGGGGGGGTGGGGGGATAACGAGCACCCAATTATTACTGCTTTTGTTGTTGTTGTTTGTTGTTGTTTGTGTTGTTGTTGTTTGTTGTTGTTATTTGTTTGTTGTTGTTGTTGTTGTTATTTGTTGTTTGTTGTTGTTATTGTTGTTGTTGGTTGTTGTTGTTATTTGTTGTTGTTGTTGTTGACGGGTCAGAGTGAAGCGTCACGACCGAGACTGAGCAGTGGGCCTGAATGTTGGGGTCCTTCATTCATCCAGCAGTGGAGTGGTGCGAAGGGCGGTGGTGGTGATGATGGTGGTGGTGGTGATGGTGGTGGTGATGGTGGTGGTGATGGTGGTGATGGTGGTGGTGATGGTGGTGGTGGTGATGGTGGTAGTGATGGTGGTGGTGATGGTGGTGGTGGTGATGGTGGTGGTGGTGGTGATGGTGGTGGTAGTGATGGTGGTGGTGGTGATGGTGGTGGTGATGGTGGTGGTGATGGTGGTGGTGATGGTGGTGGTGGTGATGGTGGTGGTGATGGTGGTAGTGATGGTGGTGGTGATGGTGGTGGTGGTGATGGTGGTGGTGGTGGTGATGGTGGTGGTAGTGATGGTGGTGGTGGTGATGGTGGTGGTGATGGTGGTGGTGATGGTGGTGGTGATGGTGGTGGTGGTGGTGATGGTGGTGGTGATGGTGGTGGTGATGGTGGTGGTGATGGTGGTGGTAGTGATGGTGGTGGTAGTGATGTTGGTGATGGTAGTGATGGTGGTGATGGTAGTGATGGTGGTGGTGATGTTGGTGATGGTGGTGATGGTGGTGATGGTAGTGATGTTGGTGATGGTAGTGATGGTAGTGATGATGGTGGTGGTAGTGATGTTGGTCATAATAACGGTTTTTGGGTTAGATCGCGTTTATTTATAAATGTGTCGTAACCCTCCACCACCCGACACGGCCAATCAGCAAAAAAAAAGTGTCACGTTGACAAAAGACAAATAATTCACTACTTTAGCCCACCGGTGTGTTGAAGAGTGAATCCACATTTACAGTTTGAGTACGACGTTTCACTGATAAATACTTCCAGCATCGTCGGGCAATTCACCAGAATGGTAAAGCCCTCGTTTGCTCAGGGTTTTATATCGAGCAGCAGCAGGGTGACGTCATCACTTAACTCATATCAGGTGCAGTGATTAGAGGCGGAGGTGGGTATTGTAATTATATAATCGATTAGTAATCAGTCATTGGTTATGATTAGTAATGAGTTGTAGATTAGTAATTCTTTAAATCAAAATGTAATGTGTATTATTTAATAATACGCTTCCAGGCCGCACTAAGCCGGTAGCTGTCAGAGCGATTAAAGTTATTCTTGTTCCTCTCAATTTCAATGGATTCTCTAATTAGTCTTTGCCAGTAATAATTAGTTTTACACACCACTGCAACATTGTCAAAATCAATTGAGTGTCCTTGTTGACAAGCATGTTCTGCCACTGCCAACAGTTGTGTTTGAGATAATATAATATTTCTCTGATGTTCTTTTAGTCTTACACTGATGTTACGTCCCGTCTGCCCAATGTAGCAGCTGCCACATGAACAATTAATCCGATATACACCTTCTGTTGATAGTTTAGATAATGCATCTTTAGTGCAAGATACTAGTTTTTGAATTTTGTGTACTGTACCAAATCTTACTGTAATGTTTTGCTTTTGCAAAACACGGGCTAATTTGTCAATTTGATGACGTCACCCTGCTGCTCTATATAAAACCGGGAGCAAGCGAGGGCTTTACCATTCTGGCGAATTGCCCGATGATGCTGGATGTATTTACCAGCGAAACGTCGTACTCAAGCTGTAAATGTGGATTCACTCTTCAACACACCGGTGGGCTGAAGTAGTGAATTATTTGTCTTTTGTCAACGTGACACTTTTTTTGCTGATTGGCCGTGTCGGGTGGTGGAGGGTTACGACACACTTATAAATTAACACGATCTAACCCAAAAACCTTTATTATGAATAATATTGGTCGCGAAAGCCTACGTGTTAAACTGAGTGATGTTGGTGATGGTGGTGGTGATGTTGGTGATAGTGGTGGTGATGCTAACGATGATGGTGATGATGGTGGTGATGGTAGTGATGGTGGTGATGGTAGTGATGGTGGTGCTGGTGGTGGTGATGGTAGTGATGTTGGTGATGGTGGTGATGGTAGTGATGTTGGTGATGGTGGTGGTGATGGTAGTGATGGTGGTGATGGTAGTGATGGTGGTGATGTTGGATCAGAGTGCCACTCTCAGAAGAAGGGATCTAAGAGGTGCATCTGTGACATCCACTTCCGCGGACCGTTCTCTAACTGCTGAACTTTTGCTTCCTCATCCTCCTCCTCCTCCTCAGCCTCCTCTCCCTTCCCCCTCCCTCCCTCCTCCCTTCCCCCTCCTCTTTGCCCTCCTCCCCTCCCCCTCCTCCCCCTCCTCCTCCTCCTTCCCCTCTTATTCCTCCGACGAACCCAAGTTGATTGGGGTGCACTGCTGACATTTCTGCTGCTGCTGCTGTTGTTGTTGTTGTTGACGCTGCTGCTGCTGTTGTTGTTGTTGATGCCGCCGCCGCTGCTGCTGTTGCTGTGTTGCTGTGAGCGGAGCTTGCCGTGTGAATGGCATCCCAGTGATCCTCCCGTTCGTACGGCGCCGCCTGACATGAGAGAGAGATGAGAGACGAGACGCACACAGACACACACACAGACAGACACACACACAGACACAGACACACATACACACAGACAGACACACACACAGATACACACACAGAAACACACAGACACACATACACACAGACAGACACACACAGACACACGCACACAGAGACACATACACACAGACAGACACACACAGATACACACACAGAAACACACAGACACACAGACACACACACACAGACACACACAGACAGACCCACACACACAGAAACACAGAAACACACAGATACACACAGACAGACACACAGACAGATACACACACAGAAACACACAGACACACACACACACAGACACACACAGACAGACCCACACACACAGAAACACACAGAAACACACAGATACACACAGACAGACACACAGACAGATACACAAACACACAGACATACAGACACACACACAGACACACACACACACACACAGACAGACACACACACAGACACACACACAGACAGACACACACAGACACAAACACAGACAGACACACACATACACGCACAGACAGACACACACAGACACAGACACACACATACACGCACAGACAGACACACACAGACGCAGACACACACAGATACCGACACACAGACACACACACAGAAACACACAGACACACAGACAGACACACACAGACACACACAGACACAAACACAGACAGACACACACACATACATGCACAGACAGACACACACACAGATACACACACAGAAACACACAGACACACACACACAGACACACAGACAGACACACACACAGATACACACACAGAAACACACAGACACACACACACACATACACGAACAGACAGACACACACACAGATACACACACAGAAACACACAGACACACACACAGACACACACAGACAGACCCACACACACAGAAACACACAGAAACACACAGATACAGACACACACACAGAAACACACAGAAACACACACACACACAGACACACACAGACAGACACACAGACACACACAGACACACACAGAAACACACAGAAACACACAGACACACACACACAGACAGACACACACAGATAGACACACACAGACAGACACACAGACACACACAGACACACACAGACACACACAGAAACACACAGAAACACACAGACACACACACACAGACAGACACACACATACAGACACACAGACACACACAGACACACACAGAAACACACAGAAACACACAGACACACACACACAGACACACACACAGACAGACACACACACAGACAGACACACACAGACACACACAGACACACACAGACAGACACACAGAAACACACAGACACACAGACACACACACACAGACTGACACACACAGACAGACACACACAGACACAGACACCCACCCCACACCCACACACCCACCCCACACCCACACCACACACCCACACACCCACCCCACACCCCGTCGTCTCGCTCACCCCGGTGTGCCCGTGGCGTCGATGCCTCGCGCCTCGCCACCAGTCAGGAGATGGGGACCTTGTACGAGACGCTGGGCCGTCTGCGGAGCCTCGACAGGCGGCTCCCAAGGCCGCCGCGAGGCCCCCGGCGCCCGAAACGCGTCGAGAAGGCGGCCATGCGGCGCACCGCGTGGCCTCCCGCCCGGCGCCTCGCCACGGTCACGTGACCGCGTACACGTGACGGGGCGGCTGTGACGTTCGGTGGGGGGGGAGGGGGCGTGGTGGGGCACCACGGGGCAATGGCGTCAGCGGGGCGCGTGCGGTGGCCGTCAGCTGCGTCGATGATCGGAGGCACACAATGCAAAGGTCCCCCGCGTAGCCTACGATGGAGTGTAGAGGCAAGTGCTGCTCATTGGAGAAGACAGTGGGCGGGTGGAGTTGTTGAGTGGGTGGGTGGAGTTGTTGAGTGGGTGGGTGAGTGGGTAGGTGGGTGGGTAGGTGAGTGGGTAGGTGAGTGGGTAGGTGAGTGGTTGAGTGGTTGAGTGGGTGGGGGAGTTGTTGAGTGGGTGGGTGAGTGGGTAGGTGAGTGAGTGGGTGAGTGGTTGAGTGGGAGTGTGAGTGGGTAGGTGAGTGGGTAGGTGAGTGGGTAGGTGAGTGGGTGAGTGGTTGAGTGGATGGGGGAGTGGTTGAGTGGGAGTGTGAGTGGGTAGGTGAGTAGGTAGGTGAGTGGGTAGGTGAGTGGGTAGGTGAGTTGTTGAGTGGGTGGGTGAGTGGTTGAGTGGGAGTGTGAGTGGGTAGGTGAGTGGGTAGGTGAGTGGTTGAGTGGGAGTGTGAGTGGGTAGGTGAGTGGGTAGGTGAGTGGGTAGGTGAGTGGGTAGGTGAGTTGTTGAGTGGGTGAGTGGTTGAGTAGGAATGTGTATGTGGTTGAGTGGGAGTGTGAGTGGGTAGGTGAGTGGGTAGGTGAGTGGGTAGGTGAGTGGGTAGGTGAGTTGTTGAGTGGGTGGGTGAGTGGGAGTGTGAGTGGTTGAGTGGGAGTGGGTAGGTGAGTGGGTAGGTGAGTGGGTGAGTGTGAGTGGTTGAGTGGGTGGGTGATTGGTTGAGTGGGTGGTTGAGTGAGTTGATCATTGGGTGAGTGCTTTAGTGAGTGGCTGAGTGAGTTGGAGGATACGTGGTTGGGTGAGTGAGTGGATGAGTGAGTTTATCATTGGGTGAGTGGTTGAATTAGTGGATGAGTGAGTTTATGATTGGGTGAGTGCTTGAGTGAGTGGGAGGGTAAATGTAGCCTACAATAGAATGTAGGGGCAATTGCTGCTCTTGTCATAATGTAAGGTTATTGCCCGAAACGTTACCCATTATATATATATTTTTTATTAAGTGGATGATTGAGTGAGTGGGGGAATGGGCGAGTGGTTGAATGAGTGGTTTAGTGATTGAGTGAGTGAGTGGGTGAGTGAGTGGGTGAGTGACAGGGTGAGTGGGTGGCTGGGTGAGGGAGTGGGTTTGACCCCACCGTTCGGGTTCGACTCCACGGCCTGTCTCATGTTAACGCACCACATAAGTACCCCGGGTACACAAACGAGGTAGTTTACACCTTCCCAGCCACCGTGACGATGATAACGAGAGACGCAGACTCCAAATACACAGCAGCAGCAGCAGGCATCGTCAGGGTCGGGATCGAACCCACGACCTCCTGTACACCAGGCGAGGTAGTCAACATCTCCTAGCCACCGTGATGATGGTGGTGGAACCCACGACCTCCTGCACACCAGGCGAGGTAGTCAACATCTCCTAGCCACCGTGATGGTGATGGTGGTGGAACCCACGACCTCCTGTACACCAGGCGAGGTATCATTAGACTTCCTTTGCCAGTGACAAAATGTAATAATAACAGGGTTTTTCCCCCTTTTTTCTGGCAATAAAACTGAAACTTTTTTACGAGGATTCATATCTGGATTAACCACAATACCTGCAGTCAAATGCAAACAAAAAACATACTATGATAATATATGTGGCATTGTCCTTGAAACTGATTGGTCCACACCAAGGGATGGTTATGTTTTGAGCCTCGACCCAAATTTCCAAGCCTCGACCCAATTGGGTCGAGGCTTGGAAAAAAGGGGAAAAACCCTATTCTTATATTTTGGTACTTGCAAAGGAGGTCTAATGATGATGTAGATGCTCACCCCGAGCCCTCATTACTTTGATAGTGGCGTCGTCTTTGAGCTGTGAGACGCCTTTTGGCGTCATCTGGTCGAGCACCAATTGGGTGGAGGCTCAAAAGAAAGCCGTCCCTTGGTGTGGACCAATCAGTTTCAAGGACAATGCCACAAATATATTATCATAGTATGTTTTTTGTTTTGCATTTTGACTGCAGGTATTGTGGTTAAAGCAGCGACATGAATCCTTGTAAAAAAAAGGTTTCATTTTTGTTGCCAGAAAAAAGGGAAAAACCCTATTATTACCAGGCGAGGTGGTTAACATCTCCTAGCCACCGTTATTATGATGGTGGTGGAACATATGACCTCCTGTAGACCAGGCGAGGTAGTGAACATCTCCTAGCCACCGTGATGATGATGGTGGTGGTGGAACCCACGACCTCCTGCACACCGGGCGAGGTAGTCAACATCTCCTAGCCACCGTGATGATGATGATGGTGGTGGAACCCACGACCTCATGTACACCAGGCGAGGTAGTGAACATCTCCTAGCCACCGTGATGATGATGGTGGTGGTGGAACCCACGACCTCCTGTACACCAGGCGAGGTAGTCAACATCTCCTAGCCACCGTGATGATGATGGTGGTGGTGGAACCCACGACCTCCTGCACACCAGGCGAGGTAGTCAACATCTCCTAGCCACCGTGATGATGATGGTGGTGGAACCCACGACCTCCTGCACACCAGGCGAGGTAGTCAACATCTCCTAGCCACCGTGATGATGATGATGGTGGTGGTGGAACCCACGACCTCCTGTACACCAGGCGAGGTAGTCAACATCTCATAGCCACCGTGATGATGATGATGGTGGTGGTGGAACCCACGACCTCCTGCACAACAGGCGAGGTAGTCAACATCTCCTAGCCACCGTGATGATGGTGGTGGTGGAACCCACGACCTCCTGCACAACAGGCGAGGTAGTCAACATCTCCTAGCCACTGTGATGATGATGGTGGTGGAACCCACGACCTCCTGCACACTAGGCGAGGTAGTCAACATCTCCTAGCCACCGTGATGATGATAATGATGGTGGTGGAACCCACGACCTCCTGTACACCAGGCGAGGTAGTCAACATCTCCTAGCCACCGTGATGATGATGATGGTGGTGGTGGAACCCACGACCTCCTGCACACCGGGCGAGGTAGTCAACATCTCATAGCCACCGTGATGATGATGGTGGTGGAACCCACGACCTCCTGCACACCAGGCGAGGTAGTCAACATCTCCTAGCCACCGTGATGATGGTGTTGGTGGAACCCACGACCTCCTGCACACCAGGCGAGGTAGTCAACATCTCCTAGCCACCGTGATGATGATGGTGGTGGAACCCACGACCTCCTGCACACCAGGCGAGGTAGTCAACATCTCCTAGCCACTGTGATGATGATGGTGGTGGAACCCACGACCTCCTGTACACCAGGCGAGGTAGTCAACATCTCCTAGCCACCGTGATGATGATGGTGAGAGAGAGAGAGAGAGACACGCAGACTTCAAATATACAGCAGCAGGCATCGTCAGGGTCGTGATCGAACCCACGACCTCCTGCACACCAGGCGAGGTAGTCAACATCTCCTAGCCACCGTGATGATGATAATGATGGTGGTGGAACCCACGACCTCCTGCACACCAGGCGAGGTAGTCAACATCTTCCTGGACACCGTGATGATGGTGGTGGTGGTGGTGGAACCCACGACCTCCTGCACACCAGGCGAGGTAGTCAACATCTTCCTGGACACCGTGATGATGATGGTGGTGGTGGAACCCACGACCTCCTGCACACCAGGCGAGGTAGTCAACATCTCCTAGCCACCGTGATGATGATAATGATGGTGGTGGAACCCACGACCTCCTGTACACCAGGCGAGGTAGTCAACATCTCCTAGCCACCGTGATGATGATGATGATGGTGGAACCCACGACCTCCTGTACACCAGGCGAGGTAATCAACATCTCATAGCCACCGTGATGATGATGGTGGTGGAACCCACGACCTCCTGCACACCAGGCGAGGTAGTCAACATCTCCTAGCCACCGTGATGATGATGGTGAGAGAGAGAGAGAGACACGCAGACAAATATAGAGCAGCATCAGCAGGCATCGTCAGGGTCGTGATCGAACCCACGACCTCCTGCACACCAGGCGAGGTAGTCAACATCTCATAGCCACCGTGATGATGATGATGGTGGAACCCACGACCTCCTGTATACCAGGCGAGGTAGTCAACATCTCCTAGCCACCGTGATGATGATGGTGGTGGAACCCACGACCTCCTGTATACCAGGCGAGGTAGTCAACATCTCCTAGCCACCGTGATGATGATGATGGTGGAACCCACGACCTCCTGTACACCAGGCGAGGTAGTCAACATCTCCTAGCCACCGTGATGATGATGGTGGTGGTGGTGGAACCCACGACCTCCTGCACACCGGGCGAGGTAGTCAACATCTCCTAGCCACCGTGATGATGATGATGGTGGTGGAACCCACGACCTCCTGCACACCGGGCGAGGTAGTCAACATCTCCTAGCCACCGTGATGATGATGATGGTGGTGGAACCCACGACCTCCTGCACACCGGGCGAGGTAGTCAACATCTTCCTGGACACCGTGATGATGATAATGATGGTGGTGGAACCCACGACCTCCTGCACACCGGGCGAGGTAGTCAACATCTCCTAGCCACCGTGATGATGATAATGATGGTGGTGGAACCCACGACCTCCTGTACACCAGGCGAGGTAGTCAACATCTTCCTGGACACCGTGATGATGATGGTGGTGGTTGAACCCACGACCTCCTGTACACCAGGCGAGGTAGTCAACATCTTCCTGGACACCGTGATGATGATGGTGGTGGTTGAACCCACGACCTCCTGCACAACAGGCGAGGTAGTCAACATCTCCTAGCCACCGTGATGATGGTGGTGGTGGAACCCACGACCTCCTGCACACCAGGCGAGGTAGTCAACATCTCCTAGCCACCGTGATGATGATGGTGGTGGAACCCACGACCTCCTGCACACCAGGCGAGGTAGTCAACATCTCCTAGCCACCGTGATGATGATGATAGTGGTGGTGGAACCCACGACCTCCTGCACACCAGGCGAGGTAGTCAACATCTCCTAGCCACCGTGATGATGATGGTGGTGGTGGAACCCACGACCTCCTGCACACCGGGCGAGGTAGTCAACATCTCCTAGCCACTGTGATGATGATGGTGGTGGAACCCACGACCTCCTGCACACCAGGCGAGGTAGTCAACATCTCCTAGCCACCGTGATGATGATAATGATGGTGGTGGAACCCACGACCTCCTGTACACCAGGCGAGGTAGTCAACATCTTCCTGGACACCGTGATGATGATAATGATGGTGGTGGAACCCACGACCTCCTGCACACCAGGCGAGGTAGTCAACATCTTCCTGGACACCGTGATGATGATAATGATGGTGGTGGAACCCACGACCTCCTGCACACCAGGCGAGGTAGTCAACATCTTCCTGGACACCGTGATGATGATGGTGGTGGTGGTGGAACCCACGACCTCCTGCACACCAGGCGAGGTAGTCAACATCTCCTAGCCACCGTGATGATGATGGTGGTGGTGGAACCCACGACCTCCTGCACACCAGGCGAGGTAGTCAACATCTCCTAGCCACCGTGATGATGATGGTGAGAGAGAGAGAGACACGCAGACTTCAAATATACAGCAGCAGGCATCGTCAGGGTCGTGATCGAACCCACGACCTCCTGCACACCAGGCGAGGTAGTCAACATCTCCTAGCCACCGTGATGATGATAATGATGGTGGTGGAACCCACGACCTCCTGCACACCAGGCGAGGTAGTCAACATCTCCTAGCCACCGTGATGATGATGGTGGTGGAACCCACGACCTCCTGTACACCAGGCGAGGTAGTCAACATCTTCCTGGACACCTGTGATGATGATAATGATGGTGGTGGAACCCACGACCTCCTGTACACCAGGCGAGGTAGTCAACATCTCCTAGCCACCGTGATGATGATGGTGGTGGAACCCACGACCTCCTGTACACCAGGCGAGGTAGTCAACATCTTCCTGGACACCGTGATGATGGTGGTGGTGGTGGAACCCACGACCTCCTGCACACCAGGCGAGGTAGTCAACATCTCCTAGCCACCGTGATGATGATGGTGAGAGAGAGAGAGAGAGACACGCAGACTTCAAATATACAGCAGCAGGCATCGTCAGGGTCGTGATCGAACCCACGACCTCCTGCACACCAGGCGAGGTAGTCAACATCTCCTAGCCACCGTGATGATGATGATGGTGGTGGTGGAACCCACGACCTCCTGCACACCAGGCGAGGTAGTCAACATCTCCTAGCCACCGTGATGATGATAATGATGGTGGTGGAACCCACGACCTCCTGCACACCAGGCGAGGTAGTCAACATCTCCTAGCCACCGTGATGATGATAATGATGGTGGTGGAACCCACGACCTCCTGCACACCAGGCGAGGTAGTCAACATCTTCCTGGACACCTGTGAAGGCGACTTGGATGTGCTCGTCAACACGGTCTCACCGCACACGTCTTGGAAGACGCCGACGCAGAGCAGCGCGAGGAGGAGCACCACCTTGAGCTCCATCTCCACGCTTGTCCTGTCAGAGGCACGGGTGTCGGAACGTCGGGGACGGCGAGGATCCTTCGCACCCTGGTGCCGGTCGAGTGAGTGGCGATCGGCGAGTTCGTCTCCGACTTTATATAGCACAGAGAGAGAGAGAGAGAGACACACACACACAGCACAATACAAAGGTCCCCCGGGTAGCCTCTAACAGGATGCAGGGGGCAAGTGCTGTTAGCGAACAGCAGAAGCACCTATGGAAGAGACAAAGGTCCCCCGGGTAGCCTCTAACAGGATGCAGGGGGCAAGTGCTGTTAGCGAACAGCAGAAGCACCTATGGAAGAGACAAAGGTCCCCCGGGTAGCCTCTAACAGGATGCAGGGGGCAAGTGCTGTTAGCGAACAGCAGAAGCACCTATGGAAGAGACAAAGGTCCCCCGGGTAGCCTCTAACAGGATGCAGGGGGCAAGTGCTGTTAGCGAACAGCAGAAGCACCTATGGAAGAGACAAAGGTCCCCCGGGTAGCCTCTAACAGGATGCAGGGGGCAAGTGCTGTTGGCGAGAATTGACACCTGTGAAGGCCGGAGCGGTACACGAGGGGGTGGGTGGCCAGCACCACGCCCGGCCGCCTTTGTCTCCCCCAGTGGCGAAGTTTACTACGCACCGCACCAGGTACTCATTTGAGGCTGAGTCGACCTAGGGGTGGCCCGGGTTCAGATAATCGTCACCGGTGGTGTTGGCCGTGAGCGGGAGTCGAACTCGGGTGGTCAGGTTCGTAGCGCAGCGTCGCGCTAACCACTGCACCCACCGCTCCCCGCACACACAGACAAACACACACACACACACCAGTACACACAGATACACGTACGCACATACACACAGACACGTACACACACACATACACACACATACACAATACACACGGACACACACACACGTACACACACACACGTACACACACGTGCACACACACACGTGCGCACACACACATGAACACACACGTACACACACACACGTACACACACACACATGAACACACACACACACGTACACACACACACATGAACACACACACACACACATGAACACACACACCCACACATGAACACACACACACGAACACACACGTACACACACACACACAAACACACACACACATACACACACGTACACACACACACATGAACACACACACACACACATGAACACACACACACATGAACACACACGTACACACACACACGTACACACACACACACGAACACACACGTACACACACACACACAAACACACACACACATACACACACGTACACACACACACATGAACACACACACACACACATGAACACACACACACGTGTACACACACACACGTACACACACACACGTGTACACACACACACACACACGAACACGTACACATACACACACACGTGTACACACACACAAAGGGTCATTCCTCAACAAGGCGCGTGCGTGATCCCAATATCTCAGAGGGCTTCCTCGCACTCGCGGGGTCACGCCGGCAGACGCACGGGGAGACAAAGGCGGCCGACCCCTCCCCCCCGTGCCCCCCCCATGTCCCTCCCCCATGCCCCCCCCCATGCCCCCCCCACATGCACTCACCATGCCCCCCCATGCACCGCCTCCCAACCCCCAATGCCCCCCCCTCCCCATACCCACCAAACACCCCCTCCCCATGCCCCCCTCCCCATGCCCCCCTCCCCATGCCCCCCTCCCCACCCCCCATGCCCACCCCCCATGGCCCCCATGCACCACCTCCCCACCCCCCCCTCCCCACCCCCCATGCCCCCCATGCACCACCTCCCCACCCCCCCTCCCCACCCCCCATGCCCCCCATGCACCCCATCCCCATGCCCCCTCCCCACCCCCCATGGCCCCCATGCACCACCTCCCCACCCCCCCTCCCCACCCCCCATGCCTCCCCCTCCCCATGCCCCTCCCCACCCCCCATGCACCCCCATCCCCATGCCCCCTCCCCACCCCTCATGCCTCCCCCCCATGCACCCCCTCCCCATGCCCCCTCCCCCACCCCCCCTCCCCACCCCCCATGCCCCCCTCCCCACCCCCCCATGCCCCCCCCCACCCCCCCTCTGACGTCACACAGTGTGGATGGAGCTGTCCAGTGGAGTTTGTTTCCGCCGCCGTGCCACGGGAGGAGAGGCAGCGCGCGGGCCAACAATGGAGCCGGCTCCGTTTCCTCTGCGTGCTACCTGCGGGCTGTAGCACACACAGACAAAGGTCCCCCGTGCAGCCTCTGGCGGGGCTGTAGGGGCAAGTGCTGTCAGTGTGTAGCCTCTGGCAGGGCTGTAGGGGCAAGTGCTGTCTGTGTGTAGCCTCTAGCAGGGCTGTAGGGGCAAGTGCTGTCTGTGTGTAGCCTCTGGCAGGGCTGTAGGGGCAAGTGCTGTCTGTGTGTAGCCTCTGGCAGGGCTTGTAGGGGCAAGTGATGTGTGTGTAGCCTCTGGCAGGGCTGTAGGGGCAAGTGCTGTCTGTGTGTAGCCTCTGGCAGGGCTGTAGGGGCAAGTGCTGTCTGTGTGTAGCCTCTAACAGGGCTGTAGGGGCAAGTGCTGTCTGTGTGTAGCCTCTGGTAGGGCTGTAGGGTAAGTGATGTCTATGTAGCCTCTAACAGGGCTGTAGGGGCAAGTGCTGTGTGTGTAGCCTCTAGCAGGGCTGTAGGGGCAAGTGCTGTCTGTGTGTAGCCTCTAGCAGGGCTGTAGGGGCAAGTGATGTGTGTGTAGCCTCTGGCAGGGCTGTAGGGGGGCAAGTGCTGTCTGTGTGTAGCCTCTGGCAGGGCTTGTAGGGGCAAGTGCTGTCTGTGTGTAGCCTCTGGCAGGGCTGTAGGGGCAAGTGATGTCTGTGTAACCCCTAACAGGGTTGTAGGGGCAAGTGCTGTCTGTGTGTAGCCTCTGGCAGGGCTTGCAGGGGCAAGTGCTGTGTCTGTAGCGTCTGGCAGGGCTTGTAGGGGCAAGTGCTGTCTATGTAGCCTCTAACAGGGCTGTAGGGGCAAGTGCTGTCTATGTGTAGCCTCTGGCAGGGCTTGTAGGGGCAAGTGCTGTGTGTGTGTAGCCTCTGGCAGGGCTGTAGGGGCAAGTGCTGTCTGTGTGTAGCCTCTGGCAGGGCTTGTAGGGGCAAGTGATGTCTGTGTGTAGCCTCTGGCAGGGCTTGTAGGGGCAAGTGCTGTGTGTGTGTAGCCTCTGGCAGGGCTTGTAGGGGCAAGTGCTGTGTGTGTGTAGCCTCTGGCAGGGCTTGTAGGGGCAAGTGATGTCTATGTAGCATCTAACAGGGCTGTAGGGGCAAGTGCTGTCTGTGTAGCGTCTAGCAGGGCTGTAGGGGCAAGTGCTGTTTGTGTAGACTCTGGCAGGGCTGTAGGGGCAAGTGCTGTCTGTGTGTAGCCTCTGCCAGGGCTTGTAGGGGCAAGTGCTGTCTGTGTAGCCTCTGGCAGGGCTGTAGGGTAAGTGATGTCTATGTAGCCTCTAACAGGGCTGTAGGGGCAAGTGCTGTCTATGTGTAGCCTCTGGCAGGGCTTGTAGGGGCAAGTGCTGTCTGTGTGTAGCCTCTGGCAGGGCTTGCAGGGGCAAGTGCTGTCTGTGTAGCCTCTGGTAGGGCTGTAGGGGCAAGTGCTGTCTGTGTGTAGCCTCTGGCAGGGCTTGCAGGGGCAAGTGCTGTCTGTGTAGCCTCTGGCAGGGCTGTAGGGTAAGTGATGTCTGTGTGTAGCCTCTGGCAGGGCTTGCAGGGGCAAGTGCTGTCTGTGTAGCCTCTGGTAGGGCTGTAGGGGCAAGTGATGTCTGTGTGTAGCCTCTGGCAGGGCTTGTAGGGGCAAGTGCTGTCTGTGTAGCCTCTGGCAGGGCTTGTAGGGGCAAGTGATGTCTGTGTAACCCCTAACAGGGCTTGTAGGGGCAAGTGCTGTCTGTGTGTAGCCTCTGGCAGGGCTTGTAGGGGCAAGTGATGTCTGTGTAACCCCTAACAGGGCTTGTAGGGGCAAGTGCTGTCTGTGTGTAGCCTCTGGTAGGGCTGTAGGGGTAAGTGCTGTCTGTGTGTAGCCTCTGGCAGGGCTGTAGGGGCAAGTGCTGTCTGTGTGTAGCCTCTAACAGGGCTGTAGGGGCAAGTGCTGTCTATGTGTAGCCTCTGGCAGGGCTTGTAGGGGCAAGTGCTGTCTGTGTGTAGCCTCTGGCAGGGCTGTAGGGGCAAGTGATGTCTATGTAGCCTCTGGTAGGGCTGTAGGGTAAGTGATGTCTATGTAGCCTCTTGCAGGGCTTGTAGGGGCAAGTGCTGTCTGTGTGTAGCCTCTGGCAGGGCTGTAGGGGCAAGTGCTGTGTCTGTAGCCTCTGGCAGGGCTGTAGGGGCAAGTGCTGTCTGTGTGTAGCCTCTGGCAGGGCTGTAGGGGCAAGTGCTGTGTGTGTGTAGCCTCTAGTAGGGCTTGTAGGGGCAAGTGCTGTCTGTGTGTAGCCTCTAGTAGGGCTTGTAGGGGCAAGTGCTGTCTGTGTGTAGCCTCTGGTAGGGCTGTAGGGGCAAGTGCTGTCTGTGTGTAACCTCTAGTAGGGCTTGTAGGGGCAAGTGATGTCTATGTAGCCTCTAACAGGGCTGTAGGGGCAAGTGCTGTCTGTGTGTAGCCTCTGGCAGGGCTGTAGGGGCAAGTGCTGTCTGTGTAGCGCCTAACAGGGTTGTAGGGGCAAGTGCTGTCTGTGTGTAGCCCGTAGTAGGGCTTGTAGGGGCAAGTGCTGTCTGTGTGTAGCCTCTGGCAGGGCTGTAGGGGCACGTGATGTCTATGTAGCATCTAATAGGGCTGTAGGGGCAAGTGCTGTCTGTGTAGCGTCTAGCAGGGCTGTAGGGGCAAGTGCTGTTTGTGTAGGCTCTGGCAGGGCTTGTAGGGGCAAGTGATGTCTGTGTGTAGCCTCTGGCAGGGCTTGTAGGGGCAAGTGCTGTCTGTGTGTAGCCTCTAGTAGGGCTTGTAGGGGCAAGTGATATCTGTGTGTAGCCTCTGGTAGGGCTGTAGGGGCAAGTGCTGTCTGTGTGTAGCCTCTAGTAGGGCTTGTAGGGGCAAGTGCTGTCTGTGTGTAGCCTCTGGTAGGGCTGTAGGGGCAAGTGCTGTCTGTGTGTAACCTCTAGTAGGGCTTGTAGGGGCAAGTGATGTCTATGTAG